CAAGGGTCGCCATGTTGATTAAACATGTGTTGTGTTGAGTTGTCATGAGTTCATTCTACAGAATCTACAAACAGTATCTTATTGATTGGTTGGTGCTAAACATTACCCTTATTGTTCAGTTGCTGGTAAAGATTAGCCTTATTGATTGCTTGGTGGTAAAGGCTACTTTTATTCAGCCGTTGGTGATAAAGATTACCCTTATTGATCAGTGGGAGGTAAAGATTACCCTTATTGATCGGTTACTGATAAAAACAAAAACACATTTATGGGTGGTGGTAAAGATTACCATTATTGATTGGTTGGTGGTAAAGAATATGCTTATTAATTGGGTGGTGTTAAAGATTACCCTTATTGATTGGTTGGTGGTAAAGAATAGGCTTATTAATAGGCTGTTGGTAAAGATTACCCTTACTAATTGGTTGGTGATAAGCATTACCCTTAATGATCAGTTGGTGGTAAAGATTACCCTTATTGATCAGTTGGTGATAAAGATTACCCTTATTAATTGGTTGGTGATAAAGATTACATCTATTGATCAGTTGGTGATAACAATTACCGTTACTGATCAGTTACTGGTAAAGGTTACCCCTATTGATCGATTGGTGATAAAGATTACCCTTATTGATTGGTTGGTGATAGATTACATTTATTGATCAGTTGGTGGTAAAGATTAACAATAATGATTAATTCATGGTAAAGATTACCCTTATTGATCGGTTGGTAATAAAGATTACCCTTATTGATCAGTTGGTGGTAAAGATTACCCTTATTAATCAGCCAGTGATAGAGATTACCCTTATTGATCGGTTGGTGCTAAAGATTACCCTTACTGATTGGTTAGTGGTAAAGATTACCCTTATTGATCAGTTTGTAATAAAGATTACCCTTATTGATCGGTTGGTGGTAAAGAATACTCTTATTGATTGGCTGGTGGTAAAGTTTGCCCTTATTGATCAGTTGGTGGTAAAGATTACCCTTATTGATCGGCTGGTCAGAAAGATTACCTTTATTCTTCAGTTGGTGATAAAGATTACCCTTATCGATTGGTTGGTAATAAAGATTACCCTCATTGATCAGTTGTTGGTAAAGATTACCCTTATTAATTGGCTGGTGATAAAGATTTCCCTTGTTAATCAGTTGGTGATAAAAATTACCCTTGTTGATCAGTTGTTGGTAAAGATTACCCCCCCTATTGATCAGTTGGTGATAAAGATTACCCCTATTGATTAGTTGGTGATAAGGATTACATTTATTGATCAGTTGGCAGTAAAGATTACCCTTACTGATTGGTTGGTGGTAAAGATTACCCTCATTGATCGGTTGGTAATAAAGATTACCCTTATTGATCGGTTGGTGGTAAAGAATACGCTTATTGATTGGCTGGTGGTAAAGTTTACCCTTATTGATCAGTTGGTGGTAAACATTACCCTTATTGATTGGCTGGTGATAAAGATCACCCTTATTGATCGGTTGGTGATAAAGATTACCCTCATTGATCAGTTGGTGTTAAGGATTACCCTTATTAATCGGCTGGTGATAAAGATCACCCTTATTGATCGGTTGGTGATAAAGATTACCCTTATTGATTGGTTGGTGATTAAGATTACTCTAATTGATCAGGTGGTGGTAAAGATTACCCTTATTGACCAGTTGGTGGTAAAGATTACCCTTATTGATCGGTTGGTGGTAAAGAATACGCTTATTGATTCGCTGTTGGTAAAGTTTACCCTTATTGATCAGTTGGTGGTAAACATTACCCTTATTGATTGGCTGGTAATAAAGATTACCCCTATTGCTCAGTTGGTGATAAAGATTACCCTCATTGATCAGTTGGTGTTAAGGATTACCCTTATTAATCAGCTGGTGGTAAAGATCACCCTTATTGATCGGTTGGTGATAAAGATTGCCCTCATTGATCAGTTGGTGTTAAGGATTACCCTTATTAATCGGCTGGTGATAAAGATCACCCTTATTGATCGGTTGTTGATAAAGATTACCCATATTGATCGGTTGGTGATTAAGATTACTCTAATTGATCGGGTGGTGGTAAAGATTACCCTTATTGATCGGTTGGTGGTAAAGAATACCTTTACTGATCGGTTGGTGATAAAGATTACCTTTATCYATCAGTTGGTGATAAAGTTACCCTCGGCTTATTGATCACTTGGTGGTAAAGATTACCTTTATTCATTGGTTGGTGGTAAAGATTACCTTTATTCATCGGCTGGTGTTGAAGATTACCGTTTTTGATTGGTTGGAGGTAGTTACTCTTACTGATTGGTTGGTGGTAAAGATTACCTTTATTGATTGGTTGGTGGTAAAGATTACCTTTTTTGATCGGTTGGTGGTAAAGATTACCTTTTTTGATCGGTTGGTGGTAAAGATTACCTTTATTGATCGGTTGGTGGTAAAGATTACCTTTATTGATCGGTTTGTGGTAAAGATTACCTTTATTCATCGGTTAGTGTTACTGTTATTGATTGGTTGGTAGTAAAGATTACCCTTATTGATCGGTTGGTGATAAAGATTACCTTTATTGATCAGTTGGTGATAAAGTTACCCTCGGCTTATTGATCAGTTTGTTGTAAAGATTACCTTTATTCATCGGTTGGTGGTAAAGATTACCTTTATTTATCGGTTTGTGGTAAAGATCACCCTTATTAATCCGCTGGTGATAAAGATTACCCTTGTTGATCAGTTGGTGATAAAAATTTCCTTTATTGATCAGTTGCTGGTACAGATTACCCCTATTGATCGGTTGGTCATAAAGATTACCTTTATTGATCGGTTGGTGGTAAAGTTACCCTTATTGATCGGTTGGTGGTCAAGATTACCCTTATTGATCGGTTGGTGGTAAAGATTACCTTTATTGATGGGTAGGGATTAAAGATTACCTTTATTGATCTGTTGGTGGTAATTAAAGATTACCTTTGTTGACTGGTTGGTGGTAAAGATTACCTTATTCATCAGTTGGTGGTAAAGTTACCCTTATTGATCGGTTGGTGGTAACGATTGACGATTACTGTTATTGATTGGTTGGTGGTAAAGTTACTCTTACTGACTGGTTTATAGTAAAGATTACCTTTTTTGATCGGTTGGTGGTAAAGAGTACCCTTTTTGATCAGTTGGTGGTAAAGATCACCTTTATTGATTGGTTGGTGGTAACGACTACCTTTATTGATCGGTTGGTGGTAAAGATTACCTTCATTTATTAGTTGATGGTAAAGATTACCCAAATTTATTTGTTGGCAGTAAATTATTAATATTATCATTGTAGGCACTACCCATTACCCAAGATTACCCATGTTGATTGGTTCGTGGTACGAGTTACCCTTACCAATTGGTAAACAGTTAAGGTTACTGTTATTGATTGGTTGATGGTAAAGAATACTCTTATTAATTTGTTAGTGGTAAAGATTACCCTTATTGATGTTACCAGCAGTAAGATTATCCACATTGGTGGAAAAGATTACCCTTTTTGATCTGTTTGTTGAAAAGATTACTCTTTGATCGAGAGTACCCTCATTGATCTGTTACCATTTTTGATTTGTTGTCAGTAATGATATCCCATATTGATAATTTGGCAGGGATAGATTACCCATATTTATAATCTATTTAGGTATATAACAAAAATACCATCATATGTTTTGTTGGCAGTAAATATTTCTGTGGCAGTAAATATTTTGCATATTGATTGTTACACGAAAATACATTACCCATAATTATATTTTGGTGTTAAAAATTATTACTTTAATTTACTGATTTGTGCTAGGTAAGGATTAAATTACCCTTACTGATTTGTTGGCCGTATATGGCCTCATGTTCCAACAGTCAGGACAAAGAGCGTGATTTGTTGGTGATAAAACTTTTTTTTACTACATGTACTTTAAATTGCAGTGTCCTCATTTCTGTATTAGCCACCACACCCAGTTTCCATAACAACATGAACACAACAGATATCAGAAATAATAACTGTTTGCTGATGTACATGTTCTATGTACTACACAATTATTCTCATTTCGCTTCACTACTGACACTAGTGAAAGAATTGTGACCACAGAAACAAACTTTTATAATAATTTGTTTTCCTTGTTTCCTTCACCATATTTATCTTCTTAGTTACTGGTATGTTTTGTCAGCAGACCCGCATGTAAGGTTGGCTGCAAAGTACATCTTTACTGTTTATCAAGTCGCTTGTTGTCAAGACAGAACTGTTTCTATTTGTTAGTTTGATTTGGGCTTTCTGAGATCAAACACATCGGTACATGTGTGTGGATGATACACAGATAGTAAGCAACTTGTGTAACAAGGTTACTCTTTTACACAAAACCACTTACATGTAGTATTCAGTGACAGGCAAGATAGGTTATTAAATAAATGGATGGGGTGGAAACATTTCCCCACATGTTCTTTATGGGTTTCTTTGCACACAGTTAACTTATGTTAAATGATTGAGCACTTGTGTAGGAATCACTTGATGGTGGTTGCACAGTGCAAAAAAAAGAAATAAACAGCCAGTCCACGTCATAAGAACACAAAAAAATGAAATGATTTCCACTCTCCATCATGTCTACTTTCCATTCTGACACATGCTGCCAATGGACTTCAGTTTATTGTCAGTCATATGACTGCTTCAATGGCAGTGGTTCTTGCAATTATTTTCATTCATTTCCTATTTATTTTCCTTTCACTTTTCCCTTAGCTGTGGGTGCTTCTGTTGAGGTACTGGTACCTTCCTTTGCTTTTCTTCCTCTTCCCCTTCTCTCTGTTGCCTTGATCATGGCACCATTTTCAGTATTTTATCATCATCTTCAACTTTATCTTCCACCTGCTGTTCTGATTCTTCAAGCACATAGCTCTCTTCCCCCACTGTCTGGCTGTCCTCTACCCCATCCCTCCTTCCTTTCTTTGCTGCTGAATGAATGGCATAAGGTGTGATTGCAACTTTCCTTGCTGTACATGTAAGTCCACGTAAAAGCTGCTTTAACCTAAAAAAAGTATTTTAGGGGAAATATTTTGAGGGAATCAGACTTCTTTGTGGGATGCAGAGACATTTAGTTGGATCTACCTGTATAAGAGTTTACTTTGTTGTTGTTCTTTGTTTGTTGCTGTTGTTTCAGGTGTTTTTCGTTGTTATTTTATTGTTATTGTTAATGTACCTGTTAGGGTCATTTTAAGATTGGACCAAACATAATGTAAAAAAGGACTGTAAAACTGAAAAACCCTTGAGATTTGTCTTCAGTTATCTTGTTTGTTACTGTTGCCCTTGTGGTAGTTCTTGCTGTCGCTATTGTTGCTATTGTTCCAACTGTCTTGGTTGTTGCTACTGTTTCTGTTTCTACTTCTGTTGTTGTTTTCATTTTTGTTGCAGTTGTAGTTGTAGTTGCTGTCTGTTTCCTATAATTAATTGTTTTCCTTGTCGCTGGTACTTCTGTTCCTACTGTATAACAAAACACTTAACGACAGGTCACTCAGCAAGCTAGTTACATGGACATCTGCTCTCATTTTCCCTGACATTTCTACATTGACTTCGTTCCAGGAAATATATATTGCATCAGTTTCCTGGAAGAGCAGAACTAGCCATGTAGTGCAGGACCTGTCATTAAGTGTATAGTGTGAGTCTATAGCTCATAAATCATGATTTAATCAATTTACAGTAACATACCACACCAAAGCCTATCCTAGTTTTTGTAGTGCGATGTGTCTAGAAATAAGGTTGATGGAGTGCTAATCCACCTCACATGAATCTCTAGGAAATTTGTCAGTTACCCATTTGTACTCCTGGGTGAAGAGAAGCACTGTGAGGATGCGTCTCGCCCAAGACCACAACAAAATGACCCTGACTAAGGCCTTAACCCAAACTGTTGACCTGGAGTTCAACGGCCTGTGCATTAAAGTAGCCCACAGCTGTCTTTTGATGAACCCAAATTTTCCATCAACAAACTTCCCTGAGACCTGCAGGTACAAACCTTTGATGGAATAGAAGCAGCAGGATCTCTCTGTCCTTCAAACTGGCCAGCCTCTATGATAGAATCTCAGTCCTCTTTTGTCAAGTCATACCCCTCCATCACTTTCACAACCTTATGACACCCCAGAACTGATCTCCCCCAATTCCTGCCAAGATAAAATATTTCAATACCTGTCAACAAAATTGGTCACCCAGAAGCTGATCGATAACTGTGCAATGTTGTCTCAAGTAAGTACAGTTAGCTAGTTGCAGTTGTAGAGGTTACACTGTAATACTGAGCATGCCTAACTTTGACTATAAATAGAATTTAAACATAATATGGGTTGGAGAACAAAGTACTTCAGACTGAGAAAATACAGTGTAAACATTGCAACTTCCCTTTAAATTGCAAAAACTCGATTTCAAGGAACACATTTAATGCAAAGAACCTCCACCTACAGGTATGCAGTTATTTTTAAGAGAAAAGTGGTGCTCCTCCCCTCCCAGTCACCACCACCATAGGCAGGATACATGTATTTCAACCTTGCTTAAATGCTCTGCACAAACTCCACACTCTTAGTCATTAAATTTGTGACGACTAAAACAGTCACTGGAAGTCACTCAAAATTTGGTTTTTAGAAAGTCTATTATAATGGCTTAAAGTTGCCGTCATGGGAAAGGATTGTTTTCAAATCTTGCACCTTCCTCGGTCCCTCTGCTTTAACAATGACAGTTGCAGAAATTAAATACATTCCTTTATCAAATGTTCCGTTGGCTCAAGAATCAAACTTTGATTTATAACTTGCTTCAACCTCATAGAGCTTTTTTATAGGTTCTTTCTGGTCTTTTTAATTTCTGTTCTCAAACAAGTCTGTAGTTTTATACCATTGCAAGATTCAAGTTACACCAACATTAAACATGTCAGTGTGATAATCACAACTATTCAACCATAATGTACTGGTACCTGAGTCATGAGGGATCTAGTAAGAACTTCCCTGAAATGGGGAGTGTAATCCAGATTCATAGACAACTCGCTTGAAGATGTGCTGTCTAGAGAAAAAAAAATGCATTGACACATGTTGTTCGGAAAACAAGCTACTCATTTCCTCATTTGATCTCTCCGAAATTTGCGGCAGTCTTTGGAATGTTTTGGAATTTAATCAGAAAGATCAAATGACCTACAGATAATCCACACAAAGTTTTGAAGAATCTTCAGAAATCCTCTTAACCTTTGTAAAATTGCATTTTAGTCTTCTTATTCAAAATTATTCAAATCATCAACAAAATAACACATGGTTGCTTGGAAATAATTCATGAAGTTTCTCTTTTCATGTTTAACATTATATCAAATTAACATGCTTGCCCTGTCAACTATACAGTAAAAATAAATGAACATACACTATTACCAGGTAGGAAACCATCCATTGTTTTATTGCTTAATGACTGAGATCTATGTGTCTTCTTGTTTCTTGTATGAGTAGCATTCATTTCAATGTAGCTGAAGCCAAGTTCCTCACACATGAGTGTTGCAGTTGTTGTTTTGTTCGGCTCCCCAAGGGGGGAACTGGACAGGAGAGCTGCCCTCTGAAATAAACCATCCTGATATTTCTTGAAAAATGAAGCTGTGCAACAAAGAAGAATCATGATCCATCAGATTACATAGTAATATTTATCTTAATTTATATCATTATCTCTTGAACAGTAAATTATGCTACAAATGGTCATCAAACAACTTGTGATCATCATCATCGTGGATGCACAAGTTTGTTATCAATACTTGATCACATTGCCATGGCAAAATTTGCATCAGAAATTGGCATTTATCAAAACTGCATGTCTCCTAAAGCCAATGACATGAAACTACAGCGACCATTAGTTAGGCATAAATGTATAGTTGTACTACTTAAGGTGGCTCTATATAGTTTTTTTGGTACGTGAAACATGGGTACTAATGGCGCGAGCGCGCGAGTATGGAAAGGAAAGGAAAAAACAAGAGTATACATGGCAGCGAGACTTTTATTGCGAATCGCGTTCCACTTACCGCTATCCTTTTTGTCCCGAGCAAGTGTTCATCACAAAACGCCAAGAAATGTGTTTAACATTACACTTCTTTCGTCTTCTCCTCACGTGGTTAAACTGAGAAGCCAATTCGCAGCACTTATCGCGCCGACATCGGAGAGAGAAGACGGTCGTGATCGTACGCGAAGGAAGTCACAGAGTG